AGAGATCTCTGCCTGACCAAGGACTCAAAACAACAGCCTTAAAGAACCTCAGAAAGCTATAAGAAAACCCAGATAGACAACTAAAAGAAGTAAGAGAGCAGTGCATGAGGAAGAAGAGTTCAAGAAGAGGTAGAACCAACAAGGAAGAACCAGAGATTGGAGCTACGATGCACAATGGCTGGTCTGAGAAATCCAGCAGAGAGCATCAGTCGCAGATTAGATAGAGCAAGAAAGTCGGAGCGCTCTGAGACAGGTCATCTGGAATTACCAGAGAAACAAGAGAAGAAAGAATGGAAGAGTGGAGAGGGTACAGGACTTCTAGGACACTGCCAAGCAAACCAAAGTAGACATTATGGAGGCTCCACCAGGAGCAGAGGGAGAGAAAGGGGAGAAGTTCTTCTAGGTGACGACACAAGACTCCCCCAATCTGCAAAAGAAAGTGAACATCCAGTCCATGGACTCCAGAGGACACCTGATAGAATAAACATAAAGAAGTGTTCACTGAGTCTCATCATACTTTCTCAAAGGTCAAAGACAAGAAGAGAATTATGAAACGCACTCATTACGTACAAGAGAACCCTCACATAACTGTCCACAACCTGCATACCCCGAGCGAGGGTATGCAGCAAGTCCAGTCTTCAGAAATCAAGAAGAGACAAAGCCTTCCCCAAAGAGGCAAAGACTGTGAGGGCTCATCATTAGGCTTGCCTTGACAAAAAATAAAAAAAGAAAAGAAAAAGAAAAATGATCAAGTGCTTCAAGCAGAAATGAGAAAACTATAAGTAGTAACAAAAAATATAAAAGTATTAAAATCACTGTAAAGGTAAAAATAGAGTCAATTTCAGAATACTCTCATATTGCAAAGATGGTGTGTAAATCACCTCTAACTAAAGATGCCAAAATATTAAAAACAGTTAGTTAAATAATTTATAATGAATACCCTATAATGGATGAAAATCTTGATGTTAATTCATAAAATGTGGGAATGGAGAGTTTAAATATAGAATTTAATATAGAAGTTTTTATATGCAGTCAAGGTCGTCAGCTACAAGCAGACCATTATAACATGCTCTGTGTAAACCTCATGGTAATCCTAAAGAAAAAACACACAGTAGAGACACACTAGGAAAAAAGTGTGTGGATGGAATCAAAGCAAACCTGTACCAAAAAAAAAATGTCATAAAATAACAAAGGAGGACGTAAAGAGAAGAAGAAAGAATAAATCTAAATGGCAAGAGTTAAGTTTTTACCTGTTGATAATTGCTTTAATCCAATATAAATGAAATGAAATATCCAATCAAAGTACACAGAGTAGCTGAATGGATCTGGGAGAGGGCAAAGCCTGATCCAGCTCTCTTCTGTGTACCCGGGAATTGGTCTGGATTTAGGGACACCCACCAAGTGAAGACAGAGGGAAAGAAGAGACATGCCACATGAATGTCACTCAAGAGAGGAGGTGGCTCTACTTACTGTTGAGAGCCACAGCCGAAGGGGCCCCAGCAAACTTCCAGCCGCCAGCAAACTTCCAGCTGCCAGCTGATGATTGGCTCACAGCGGCCCCAGCAACATCTAGCTGATTGGCTCCTCTGCAGTGATGCTCATTGGGCTGTTTCCCTGCCCTTTCAGACCACTGAGCTGCTCATTGGGGGACTTTTTTGGCTCCGCCCACGTGACCCAGCCAATCGGCCTCAAGAGCAGGAGGATTGTGGGAGGTGGAGAGAAGCTGGTGTGGGAGAGAGAGGCTTGTGAAAAGCCGGTGGTGGCAGTTGAGGCTCTGAGGGTTTTTCCTGAGAGGCTGTTTTGTTTGGCGTGTGTGGTTCTAAAAATAAAGTTAGTTTCTTTTGACAAGTGGCTCCTGATTGTGCCCAGCCAGACTGCGGCAACAAACAAACAAACAAAGAAAAGAATACCACCCCAACAAATAAGTTGTTTGAGAACATTGAACCGAAATGTTCATACACAGCTCAAGAGGAATGGAACTTCCTCACAGCTGCTTGGTCTGTCCCAAGGCATCCGCCTGATCTCAGCACACTCTGTGGCTGCTCCTCGGACCTCACGACCCTTCCCTTCTCTGTTTGTTCCAGCACCACCTGCACACCCCACTGGGCATCCTGGCTCAGCCCCCTTGATGCTGGTTTCCCACCAGGGAAATGCCTGATGGTGCCATTTTGATTCAGTTTCCAAGAACTGATCTTCAAGCCGACACAGCTGACTGGGGATGGCTGGGCATAAATTTTGTGACGGCTTAAAGCTTCTCTGGATTGGTGTATAAATAAAGGCATGTTAAGGATGTTTCATGATGCAAAAAAAGGTGGGAAAAATATTCCCTGCTCTAATCTCCTATGTTTACAGTTCACACATTCATAGACACACACACACACACACACACACACACACACAGACACAAATTCCCAGTTTCTGACAGTTGGAAGTTATAAACACATTCAAGTATATTTAGATTGATTAAATAAATAATTTTCATTTAAATGCTACTTGATATCAAATTACAGATTGTGCAGACATTGGCTAAAAGATGGGTAATCCAATTTGTTTTGTAACATTAAATTACTGAATTACTTATGAAGAGGTTTTTTCCTTAGGAAAAAAAAAGTACAAAGTAAAATAATGCTTTTCTTGGTAATTTTTACAGAAATATTATTGAGGATTACTAAAATATTGGCCACTTAATCTAGATTATATTTCAACCTAAACTCACATTTTGTAAATTGCTTTATTGAGATGCAATTGATATACAGAACTTTGATGAGTCTGGACACCTGTGATGCTAGGTCCAGGGCCCAAGCATCCACCTGGGAGGCCAGGTCCAGGGTACAAGCACTGAACTCACCCACCACCCACAAACACCCCCATGTGCTTTGGTTTGGTGAGAACACAGAAGTATCCTCCTCACCTGTTTTAAAGTATACCATCCTGTACTGTCAACTAGAGGAACTGTGTTCTACAGCAGATCTAGAACTTACGCATCCTGCATCACAGAAACTCTCTACCCACTGAGAAACACTCCCCTCCCTCCCCTAGTCCGGGCAACCATCATTCTGTTTTCTGCTTCTATTAACTTGACTGTTTTAGAGTCCTCACATAAACAAAACTGCAGAACTTGCCCTGAAAATACTGGTTCATGCCTTGTGGTACAATGTCCCCCTGATCCATCCATGGTGTCATACATGCATGTCAGGATTTCCTTCTCTTTTGAGGCTGAATAGCATCCCTCTGTGTGTGTGTGTGTGTGTTTGTGTGTGTGTGTGTGTGCGCACACACACATGTACCATGCTCTCTTTACCCCTTCACCCACCTGTGGATGTCTAGGTTGTCCCTGCAACTTGGCTACTGTGAACAATGCTGCAATGAACATGGGATGCAAACACTCCTCCGAGACCCGAGGTGGGACTGCTAGATCATGTGGTAGTTCTGTTCTTTTCTCTTTTGGGTACTAGGGACTGAACCCAGGGGTGCTCTACTACTGAGCCACATCCCCAGCCCTCTTTATTTAGTGTGAGACGGGGTCTCACTGAATTGCCCAGGCTGGCCTCTAACTCATGATCCTCCTGTCTCAGCCTCCAAGAATCTGGGATTACAGGTGTATATTACCACACCCCACTCAAACAGCAATACTACTAATGGCTAATTTGCAATAGGGGACTAAACTGGGAATGCAATGCAGGAAGAAGATCTTTTTTCAATGGAGTAAGGAGTAATATAAACATAGTAACCAAAGAAAGTTTATAGTAAATCATTGCAAAAACATGACTAATTGCAGGTTGGGCTATAGCTCAGTAGCAGAATACTTGTCTTCCACGTGTGAAGCACTGGGTTCGATCCTCAGCACCACATAAAAATAAATAAATATATTGTGTCTTTCTACAACTAAAAAAAAAAACAAAACATGACTCATTGGCCCAATTCACCTATGCCACTGATAGACTCTTCTTACCTTTACCTCCTATCCCATATTTTGAAATTAAAAATCTGTATCACAAATAATGGGCCCATTGACCAGAAGACACCTAGAACTGCACCTAGATCTAAGCCTGGGCAATGAGTGGATGAGCCGGTATTGAAGACACACGCAGATACAGACTTAAGGACGTCAGTCATCCAGCAGCCAGGCAGCTCACATTCACCAGCTCACGTTGCACAGCCTCTACGAGGTGGCTGCCCACATCCTCACAACTGCTTAGGTGCTGTCCATGTCTGACGGATGACAGTAGTGCCAGGAAGAGGCTGAGCCACACCACGGTGAGGTCTGACCAGGAGCGGCCACCTGCGGTGGAGGCCTCGGCTCTGGTGTCCCTGCGTCTGTGAACAGGGCCTTCCCTGCTCTGCCATGTCTTCCTCACTGTAACTCCCGCCCAGAGAGGCTTGTCTAGCATACACATTCTCCATGAGGCCTGTCAGGTCTTCTTGCAATAAGGGATACCACATAGTAGTGCAGCATGGCCCTTGAGCTATTTTCAAGAGTGAATCATTGACAAGAAAGCACAGAAATGCAAAATGTGAAATAATAAAATAAAGGCACAAAAGAGGTTGCAAAGCAAGACGATCACATGGAGCGTGGCTCAACAGGGAGGCAGGCACCAGCCTCAGCCCTGAAGAACTCAGGACTGGCCCTCCAGAACTCCTGGAACAGAAGAACCAGGACAAGAGTCTCTCAACGTAGCAGCGTGGACCCGATGATCACAAGGGAAAGGTTGACACGGGTGGCTGAGTGGCCAGCATATGCCGCGGTAGTTATTTGACTCGTTACTAGCTCAAAAGCCACATTTCCTATGTGATGTGATGTAGCTTCTTGAGAGAAGACAGAAAAATTTAACTAGATTCTACTTCCTACTTCTTTATCATTCTGGGGCCATTCAGCATGTTGCCAGTACTCTTGGCTGAATGGCAGTTACAAGTCCCTGGTGAGGTGTGACTTGTTGAAGGAGCCTAGAAGACCCTCCACTGTTCCCAAGTGGCCGCCCCCACCACCAGGCTCTCCTTACCTATGGCCCAATTGTCGGCAGACCACAGCCGCATCCTCGTCAGTCCAGCCATCGTCACAGACTGTCCCCCACTGGCCATGGACGTAGACCTCCACTCGTCCTTCCTTCTCATTTTCTCCATCCACCAGTCTGACAGGAAAACCTGAGTCACAATTCAAAGGTATCAGAAAAGCCAGAACAAGCCAACTGGAGTAGAAGCACAAAAGGCTACAAAATACAACTGTTTCAATCAGCCTGGAATCAGGGGAATTTTTTTTTTTTTTTTTGAGAGAAAAAGATTGAGCAGTAAAAGCAAGCATGTGTGCTCTTTGGTCACCTTTTCAAGCTCTGCTAAACTGTGTCCCCAGCACTGGGAACAGGCTGACTCTGAGGACATGCACTAGCTATTTGTTGAATAATCAAATGAATAGACAAATAAATGGATGGATATCACAATAAAATCATGAATTATTTCATTACAACTTTGGGATAGTAAATAACATTAACGCAGAGTTGTTTTTATTTTGTGTCTTTTTAAAAATCTTTTAAAGATTTTATTTTGTGTCTTTTTGCAAACGTGGGTAACCTGAACAGGTCTAAAGCCAGAGGAGGGAAAGACAAGTGGCTGACAGGTAATTTCTACCTAAGGCCCTTTGTTTACTCTTGATTCCAAGGGAAGGACCTAAGTCAGAAAAGTTACTGAGATTCCAAAGTCGAGAAATTTATCTCTAGCAAATTGAGGCTTAAATCAGGCAAATGAAATGGTCTGTTAAGCATCCTCTTTCTATCCACACTAGTAAGTGTGGTGTAACTTAACACCCTGAGATTCGCACACCTTCACACAGAATAGCAGTCATTAGGGGGCTGGATCCAATCAACTGCTGTCCTTACAAAAGGAAGTCTGGACACAAGGTCACACACGGAAGGAGGGCAGCAGGAGGAGACAGAAAGGCTGCCACCAAGAAGCCCAGGAGAAGAGCCTAGCACCTGCTCCCTTTGCGCTCGTTCTCCAGGGACCAGCCTGCCCAGACCTTGACCTTGAACTCCTGGCCTCCAGCACGGAGGCACTAAATACCCCTGCTTCAGCCACACAATGTGTGGTACTTTGTCACAGCAACGGAAGCAAACGAACACCACACACACACACACACACTTGATTACCTAGGAAGACCATCCTAGTTTAGAATCTAATGGTAAGGATTCCACAATGAAGCAAGCAAAATTATCAGGAGAACTAAAGAGGACACAGCAGACAGCCAGTAAACAAGATACCGCCTAATACATTTAAGTGACCCATGGAACTACGAAGTCTACCTATGTGAGCTGAAAGAACACGCTGTCCGCAAGATGGACAATGCTCCTCAAATCTGTTTCCACTTCTCCATCCTCTGGCCTAGAGCTGCTGGCTCCCTGGTTCCCATCCTCGATGGATTCCACTCCCAGATAGGACAGGCCCAGCAGGGGACTGCAGAGCAGAATCACAGCAGCAGTGCTGGCCAAGTGCCCATCTGTGCACTACTCACTAGTAGCTGAAAAGACTCGGAGTTCAGCGAGTCCTGAGATGCTGGGTGCAGTCGCCGCACCTGATTCCACTGCCTCAGGAGGCTGAGGCACAGATCACAAGCTCCAGCCCAGCCTGTCTCAAGATAAAATACAAAGGCTGAGGGTGCAGCAGTGGGTCCAAACCTCAGTTCCAAACACAAAAAAACAAAACATTGAAAAAATTACAGCTTATTAACGTGTTGGATACTTTGGGGTTCTTTGCAAGAGAATTAAGGTACAAAAGTGATCCTGAAAGACCAAATTCAAACTGATAAAATTTTTAATGTCTTCAATATTCATAGTTTTGGATCCTTTGTTCAAAATTAAGACAACATGCACACATGGAACTAGATCCGCATGTTCCATCCCAGCACTTTCAGGGAATGTTTTTATAGATGCTAAACATAAAAATAATAAAGTATTTTAAAAGTCCAAATGGCATATTTTGTAAAAATAATGCATATGACATTTCTGAACCTAATTTTAGTCATTTTACAACATCACTGGACTTTTAAATCTTGAAGGGAAATTGGAATGCAAAAGTAATTCTACAAATATACTCTTAAGTTCTTTTTGTTAGAACAGTTATAATAATATGTAACATGCTTTATTTCTAAAATCTTAAGTATAAACCATTTGGGAAGATTGACAATCCCAAAGGTACACAATATCTTAATTATATATTTCAAACTGATTTCCAAGTAGTTTACTTTAATTCTTCCTATAACATTGATACATTGTTTATAGAAAATAATAATGTGTCCTAAAAAAAAGTAAAATCTATCACAGATACAAGTTAGAAGTCTAAGTTTTGTACTGTAAGACTTCAGAGACAACTTCATTGTTAAGGAAATTTCACTAGGACTTATATTCTCTGAACTCCACAATTAACCTAATATGAAGATGAACAACACATCCTACTGAAGTTTCCCCAACTGGCCTAGGAATGCTGCTTTCGAGCATCCTGTCCATCACAGAGAGTGTCCATAAAGCTGTAACTAATTCAGGAAGAGTTTTGTGCATACTGAATGAACACCGTTAACTACCATAGTGCCCAAGAGGCGAGACATCTCCCTGTTTCTAAACGCTGTTCACATCATCATCCCCAAATCTCCTCTGCAAGCTTCTCCTTCAACACAATATGTTTCAGTAAGCAGGAAGGTTAGGCTCCATCTTTCTATCCCCAAAGACATCTGGCTCATTGAATGTCTCATTGTCTGGGGATCCAGACAATGTTCCTCAAACAGATGGCTTTAGTCAATAGACCAACCACTGAGATTAGGATCGAGGAGATTCACAAGAACAATCATACAGTCGATCCACAATCATCACCCTCAGCTTTAAGAACATTTAGACACGTCTAGAATTCTAGAATGAAAATGACTTCCCGGAGACCTGAAACATTAGTTGTTCTAACTAAATCATGGGCAACACGGGCCTTCCAAGAACTAGGATCTTATAGGATGTCTCCAGCGCTGATGGACAAGACTGAATGGATCACTCCATGACCCAAATCTGCTACCTGAAGCCAGAAGATTCCCTACAGGCCAACAGGTTCTGTCTTCACCAACTAAATGCAGTCCTGCATCTCACCATCCTGAGGCACTGAAGCCCTCCGTAAGAAGAGGTGGGAAGAGAGAACCACTGAGAAGAGCCTGAAAATGGGCCCTGTGAGGGACGGAGGGATGGAGACCTCCCGCAAGTGCAGCACCAGGGCGGTGAGTCGGCGCCTCACCCCTCTGAGCACAATCAGGGTTTGCCAGACACCTGGGCAGGCTTCAGATCTGCCACGTGGCTTCAACACGGTCCATTACACGATCACACAAGGAATTCCACCTCAACACCGGGGTTGATTCGATCCTGAGGTTGAAAGGAAGGCCCCACTCTGCCTCCTGTCAGACCTGCAGAGCTCCTCAAGAATGGCTCACTGCTCAATGTTCCCACCAGATCTTCATCCATGATCACTTCCAGACCATTAGAGAAGCTAGTTACCTTTTATCCAAATGCAAGTCTGCACAAACCTGTAACTGGGGAGCCAGAAAGGCTCCTGGTGGTTTCTAGAACCACCTGTGCATCTTAGGAAGATGGAGGTAGGACCTTCAAGGAATCTGCTGGGAAACCCACTGGGGAACTCAAAGGGCAACAGCTGGCTGGTGACCAAGGACTGACCAGCCTCAGGACCAGAGAGGAAATCAGTCATGACACAGGGGAGAGACTAATGTCTTCTTTTAAAATGCTGTCTCAGCAGCTCATCCAACTCAAGGAAATCAGAACAGGTGACTGAGGGGCAGTGGGTGAACATGCAGCTTCTTCCACCTTCCAGGAACATGTGATCATTAAATGAGAAATATACCCTTGTAAGTAACAGAAAACAAGTTTATGGGTAGAAATTTCATGACATTAGTGCAGAGACTCAAGAGATTTGGGGGGAGAATGGACTTTAAAAACCAGCTTCGATGAGAAACACTTCACATTCTGGAGCAGGGGCTAGGGATGCAGTGGCCTGTGACCGCAGACTCAGTGCCGGGCCAGCCCTCACCCAGGTGCAGGCCACGCCCCTTGCTGCCCAGGTGGCAGGTGATGCCCACGTCCTCCCTGTGACTGCAGTCGTGCCGGCCCCATGGGCCCCTGGAACACTGGAGGAAGCTGGCTTCCCTTCCCGAGCAGTGGACGTCGTCCAGCCAGATGGGCCCTGTGCTGGCTTCAAAATGGTGGGCAGGGGCTTGTCTGCCATACCTGTGGTGACAGAACAAACATGCACAGCGCTGTGCGCGCCTGTTTCCAGGAATCAGAGACAGACACCTGACTGGGCACCTGCTCCAGGGGACAGGCAGGCCTTGCTCCTCCCCGGAGCCTCACAGCTGCGTTTGCTTCATCACACATTTTAGTCACCTAAACAATTCTGAATGATCCAATGAGACTCAGGGATCGCTCCTTCTTGTGTTCTGTCACAATTCAACCCACCGACCAGAGTGCAGGCAGGAGCTGAGCCTTCACTCCTGCCCTTGAAGTGCACAGAGGCAGAGGGAGGACCTGGTCTGCAGGAGCCACCTGGGCTCCCGTGGTCCTACCAGCCTCTCAGGCCTCCCGGGCATCTTCTCCAAGAGCAGAAGTTGCAAGTGTCATCTGCTCCACCCAGTGCCCCTCCCAGGGCAGACCTGGACTCCACACTGGAGCAATGAGAGTGTTCTTGGCTTTTCATAAGGCTGCATGAATCTGACTTTTAAAAGTTTTGTGGATTACATGTATGCTGAATTGAGTTACTCTACCTGTGACATTGTACATCCCGCCCACATCCAGAGCGGGTGGTGCAAACGGGGTTCCCCTGGGTCGAATGGGATGGCTGAGAAATAAAACCAAGGGAGATAAAACGGCGAAAAAAACACAGAACACAGAAAGTAGTTTCAAAATCAGGGCGGGTTGGGCACGCAGATGGGACGATCAGACGGAGGAAGTGAGCCTCTAGACATAAGGGGCCTGTGCCTGCTTTGCGTAGATCAGGAAACAGGGACCGATAGAATGCTCTTCTCCAAAAAAGGTTCAAGTGGGCTGTTCAGTTCCTAACGGGTTGCGCCCACCTCTGGAGCTACTGTGAGGAACCTGCCAAGCAGAGTGGAGGGAAAGGTACGGGCATTGGGCCATCTATTGCTGTGGAAAGTTTCCAGGGCCAGGTCTGTCCCTCCCTGGCTTCCACATGCATTTCTCGGATGGCTTCCTGCAGCATGTGTTTCAATGAATCACTTGTGGTGAAACATCTGGAAACTGTCACTGTTCCCCTGGGCTTTGCTGCAGCTCTCCTCACCCCCTCGTTCTTCTTCTGTTAAGTGCAGCACCTGCCAACACCTCTGCCATGATCACCAGAACCCTGCACGCTGCAGAGAACAGCTTCACAACGGTCAGTCTCAACACTCTGCGTGGAAAGGAAAGACTGAATGGGCCCAAGAAACAAAAATGAAGTGTGCAGGAGAAGTCCGGCACCACTGACTGCTTTCACGAACGAGGGACACATACGGAAACGAGTGGCGGATGAGGGATTCTCGAATCTCCCCAGCCTGTGAAGACGGGTGCCACTGTCAAGTCCACAGATGCTAATGACACGTCATGATTCTCACTGATAAACGTTAATGTTTATTGGGATGTTATGTCATATCCTTGACCTTATAATTTTAATAACTGTTCTGCCCAAGAAAATTAAAATTTGAGGCAATTATCTACATTTATATCTTTATAATGGCATTATTTACAACTAAACTGAAATGAGATTGAACATTGATCTTAACCTAAAAATCTAACCTAAATATTAAGTAAACTATGGTGTAAACATTTGATGGATATTATGTTATTATTAAAACTTGTGACTGTAGCAACATAAAAGTGAAAAATGCTGATACAAAAATAATACATTATAAGACTCAATATAAAGCTATACACCCAAATTATAATATGATAGCATAATAATGGAAAAATATGGATAGCTTTTTAATCTTGGTTCTTTTCTAAACTTTCTGTTTTATATTACTTTTATAAATCTTAACGTCTATGTTAAATAACGGCCTTGCCCAGCTTGAAGAGTTCAGTGAACATCTGCAATAAGCTCTAGCTTAAGGTGAGGTGAAAGAATGTCACCGATTTCTTCAAGCTCTGGAATATTACTCCAAGCACGAAGGCAACATGGGGAACAAGAAAGAAGGGGCCCAAAGCCCTTGCTAGTGGTCATCCAGCCCACACAGGCCTTCACCCTGGAGGCACTGTGCAGCAACATGGAGATGTCTCCCAGAGCATGACACTCAGCCTGTAAGCGGGCGAGGTCACAGGGCAGTGCCAAGGTCACTGCCTGACAAGAGGGCTGTTTGTCTCTTAGTGATCATCACCGCACTCTGCAGAGGGGAATGATGTAACAAACTGTTTCCCTGGGCTTTGCTGGAACTTTAGACCCCACGATGTCAAACAAAGGCAGTGCCCCATCAGGATACAATGAGGCATTCAGAGACTTACTGACAGATGCAAAGGACCTGGGAGTCGCCCTGGCTTCAGCCAGGGTTTTCAAGAAGAGGGGCAGGCAGGAAAGGCAGAGGGGACACTGGGCAGGAGGTTCTGGGCTGGGGTGCGGCTCCAGGGCAGAGCACTCCCCAGCAGGGGCAAGGCCTAGAAAGAGGAAGGAAGCGCGTAGTGGAGGTCAGTGCTCCTGTGGAGTGGGCAGGCAGGCAGACGAGGGAGGTCGCTACCCCAAGCCCTCCAATGTGCGGTTACCATTTTGCGCCCCACCAGTAGACCTTACATGAATCCCAGCTGCCGGCAGGCCACGCGGGTGTTCAGCTGGGTCCAGCCGTCATCACAGATGGTGCCCCACTGCCCCTGGTAGTGCACCTCCAGGCGGCCCTCATGGCTGCCTCGCCCACCTGCAAGTCTGATGGCCCCATCTATGGTGAGAAGGGGGCGCAGAGACAAAGTGAGTCAACTCTCAGGAGAAGGCACCAGAAATACCCTTGTCAGGCCCCACAGGCTTTGTGGAAGCTCCATTAGCATCTGGGGTCACTGCACAAACCTGTCCTCGGGTCTGCACTCTTATTCTCTAAGCACAAAAACACACTCTGATATAAGTCCAAAGGATCTCTCTTCCCTAGATTAAATTATGTTTGGGAAATTTCCTATAACTTACAGTCTAAGCAATTCTAGTCCTTTGCATTTTTAAAAATCAAGGAAATATAGTAACTTGGAAATAGTTCAAAATTCTAACTACGAATGAAAAACACCAGATTATGAAGGCAGAAAAGGCTCTGCTAGGTGAATAACAATCTACCATGTCAATGCATTTATTAATCCTTAGGCGTTTGTGAATCATAAAAGTAGGGTACACACCTTGCCCTTATTCTTTTAGAGATAATGCATATCAGAAATTTGAATTTTATTAACTCAATGAATAATTAACCCCCAGAGGATTCTATAAAAGGCTTCTAAGAAGATACACTGTACAATTAATTTAATTTTTTAGAATGATGTTTAAAAGCCATTTCCATCTGAGATAATCTGACCCCCTCTTAATGAAACATGAATATCTTGGATAAAGGTCATACTGTCCATGAATATGAAAGGTCTCCTGGAAGCATATGTCGGTGTACTATCTCACTGTCTGCACAGTGCTCAGACACACCTAAGCTCATCTGAGTGCCACAGCTGCAGGACTAGACTTTCATCACCTGCAGGCAGCAGGGCAGCCCAGGACCAGGATGTGCTCTGGCAATTGCTGGCATATATCATAGACCTGATAAGAACAGATGCACAGCTGTCTATAGAGATCTGAATTCCGTATTCCATAGTTCCTAAGAAGTTATTCTTTTGGTGTTTAAAGAAAGAAATTTTTCCTTCAAGTTCTTTTCATCATAGAAGCAATGGATGTGTGGTGACAGCTCTTGCCTGTTTTTCCTGTCCTGTATTCTTTTGGTGTTTAAAGAAAGAAATTTTTCCTTCAAGTTCTTTTCATCATAGAAGCAATGGATGTGTGGTGACAGCTCTTGCCTGTTTTTCCTGTCCTGCTGACCATGTGGTGAGCAGGCACACAAATGTTACTCTGCAGTCAGACTCACCTCCTGTGACAACGGCCCTATGTGACAGACATGCTGCACTGGGAATAGTGTAAAAACTGAGCATTGCAAAGCCAACCTGGTGCTTTAGTCAACAATCACATCAATGTTTTATGCCAGTTGCAAACATATTCTAAGACAAGACTGATGAACAGATGAACTGAAGGTGGCTTACAACCTAATGTCTGGAATTCATCATCCCACATCTAGCTTGCTAACTGAGTGCTACAGATTACGACAAAGTCCTGCTTACTTGTCTAGCTTTATACAATTGTACAGCTAAAAAAATTAAACTAAAAAATTGAACTTAAACTAAAAAATTCAGAAATATCTATGGATAAGAAGCTATCACCTCAATATATAATTTGTGCTAGACTTTTCATTTTTATTTGGAAGAGTTATGATGTTCATTTGGAAGCATTGTCTGAATTGAGAAGGGCCACTCAAGTATGTCCAGGGGCTGGAGGCAGGGGCTGGACATGAGATCTTACCTATCAGAGGTGCACAGGACACTCCAGCATCTTCTCTATGGCCACAGTTATGCTCTCCCCAGGAACTCTTGGGACACTGCTCAATGGAAAGCTCATTCCCCGTGCAGCGCACTTCATCCAACATTATGGGGCCAGATCCTTCCCCAAAATACGCCTGAGTCCATGCCTTAGCAACGCCACTGAACAAACAGAAAAACAAGAATTCTGAGTTCAATAGCAAAGGTTGACCTGACATTTTTTTGTATCTGGTAAACCCATAATCATTATCAATCTCTACATATAAATTCCCTCCATTGCACAACTTTTTGCATTTCTTTGTTGTTTTCTTTATTTCTGAGTCTGCTAGCTATTCCCTACATTGACCTGGCCTTTCTTCACCAGCAATGGAGCCTCACATTTTTAAGAGGCAATGGCTATCCACACTTTCCTCTAGATGCACAACGTAAAATGCACCTTTTTAACCATTTTAAGTGTCCAGGGGAGCCACTGCATTCTGTGTAGGGAAACTATCGCAACCACCCACTTCCAGAGCTTTTTTAGAATTCTGCACAAGGACTGAGTTTCTCCAAGGACATCTAGGTACAGAATTGCCTGTAGCACTTCCAGGATGTTCCCTGCTCCACCTCCTCCTGCCCCACTGGACCAGGGGCTGCTGCAGAGCTTCAGCAGCAGCTGTGGGGCTGGCCTCCAAGGTACCAGGTCAGGAATGACAGACCGCAGCAGGAAGGGGCCTGGGGCCCTTGGCTGAGAACCACCCAGCCAGCCTCCAGGGGTGGCTCCAGCCTCCTTGCTTGAGAGGGAGGGAAGACTGGCCTACCGCTGTCCCCAGGGTGGCTGCTATCAGCTCTCTGTTACTCACGGACAACCTATTTCTAACAAAATGTCTTTGCACTAATTCATTCGTACTAAATCTACCTCTTCCACAATTCAAAGTGAGAGCATATTCTAGAACCCCAGATTCCAGGGAAGGTTGAGATCGCTGTCACATGCTGAATGACTTTACAAACGGCATTTCTCGCCTCTTTTAGCTTTTTTAAGTTTTAGATTTTCAGCATTTATATTTGCAACTTTTTAAATTGAAGAAAAATTTTTAAAAATAATTTTAGAAAGAATACTTATGGAGTTAATTCATAGCTACGTGTTGTTTTCATCACAGATTATAAGGCGGTGGCCCCATGGCCTTCTGCCCATGACCTCCTCCCTGGGCCTCAGGCTCTTGTGGTGGAGACACACACAATCAGAGGCAAGCATTTCCAAGTGTTTTCATACACTTTAGTGTTTCACAGAAATGTTGTAGTGTGCTGAACAAAGCATTTTGTGCAGAGAAAGCACTGATGTTTCTAGAAAAGTATTTTAAGGCAAATTGATCTTATAGTAGTTAGGTGTCCACGGGCTGCAAAGAAATTCAGACATTCAGAGCTACTCACTGTGGAAGAGGTTCTCTCCTCCCAAAGGAAACATGCCTGTGCCGATGCCAGTCGCTAGCATTTCCACAGCAAATAGAGCTAAGCTTAGGTAGCACTACGAGCAATTTCCAGAATGGACAGGGCAGGTATTGGCTGGTGTAGCCAGCATACACACCAGTATGGGTCTGGAGAAGGCAACTGCTTGAGCTGTGTGCCTGAGACCCCAGGCTCCTCTCCAGGGGGAGGAAGCACAACAGGAAAGAAGAGGCCCTGCCACCGGTCCAGTCCTGCATGCCCATGCTTTACAAGGCCATGAGTTAAGACTGGCTTCTACACTTTATAATGGTTGGGGAAACAATAAAAGAGGATAGGATCTGTTATAAAATTTAAATAAAATATGAATTTCATTATTGAAAAGCAAAATTTTACTGGAACAAAGCCAAACTTGCTCCTAAATTGTGGTCTAAGGCTGCTTTTGTGAGACATCACACCACTGAGGAGATGTGAAGTCTAAAAAATTTATTGTGTGGCCCTTTAAGAAAACTTGGCAGACCACTTTTTAAGAAAACTTGCAGAGCACTGTGTTTAAGGGAAGGCAAAGGTGAAACCTGAATGAGCGGGCAGCAGGCTGGAGAAGGAGGGGAGGTCCAGATGGAGGCCCAGGATGGAGGCCCAGGATGGATCTCTGCCCTGAGACAAGTGCCAGGAAAGAAGGTCTATAAAGGGACACCACAGTGGGTACAATTCATTGGAACCAATATGGGAATCATAAAATTAGATCCCAAACTCATAACAGAAATAAAAACAAAATGCAGATGGTTTAAAGACGAAAGAGGGGTGGAGGGAAGGAAGGGGAAGGAAAGAAAGAACTCTGAGAAGACATGAGAAGACAGGAAATTAAAACAACAGGCACAGAGTTCTGATAGCCTTGATGAGAGAGAGAGAGAGAGAGAGAGAGGTTTCCTGAGCAAGATAAGAAGCCCATAGTCAGAACAAAGACCAAAGAAGTAAATGCATCAACATGCAGATTGAAACCCACCAAAGAGCAAAATACACCATGTATGGGTCTGGAGAAGGCAACTGCCTGAAAAAAACAGCCAAAAGTCCAGAAGAAACATTCATAATATGTGACAGCAACAAAAAGATCTCCTGGTAATGGTCAATGATAACTTGTTACAATTTATTGAATGACAACCAACATGCGTGGAGACGCACTGGGAAAGGACAGCAGGACAGACTGTGGCTCCTGCCCAGTGACAAGAAGCCAGAGCACCCGATGCCAGACCCAACAGCCGCAAAGCGCTCTCTCCCCTTATCCCAGCAGAGTCAAAACACCGTTCTCATACAGTGCACAGCTGCAAGGCAGCAAAATAAGGCTCTCCAGGCTCACAAAACCCCAGCAAATCCCAGAGTCATGCAAAGGCTGGGGATGGGCAGGGTGGGCTGGCTGACTACCGTGTTGAGGCCCACTGTAAAGTCAACATGAGGGGAAAACATCAACCAGGGTTTCTAGCTGATCTCGACTCACTGACAGAAGAAGATCTGCACACCCACTCCTCAGCCAGTCTCTAGCATTTCCTGCTGCTGGCTTCCAGGGAAAACCAAGGCACACCAGAACTCTGTCCTGAGAGTGGGCAGTATGGGAAGCGGCACAGACCTCAAGAGCTGACCCTCAAGGCAGAGCTAGGCAGGTTCAGGTTCAGGGTGCCTGTCCCCTGTCCCTGCTGTAGGGACACCATCCCACCCCAGCCTGACAGCCCAGTGCGGCCCACTTTCTTACTTGCTAGCCGTGAGTCACAGGACGAAGCAGAGTGCAGGGCTGCTCTGAAGTGAGGCGGTCACTACTTCTGACCGAGCAGCAGAGCCCTCCTCAGACCCTTAGCCTGTTCAGTGATCAGACGGTACTAGTGAAGTGTGTCCTTTGTTCCCTACACCCTCCATTGACAAAGGCCAAATACATAGGCCCACTCCCTCCCCAGGCATGGCCAGCTGTCTTGGGGGGACAGAAGAGGTCAGAAACCCATGCCAGGAAAACCTTGGGCTATGAAGACAGGCTCCTTCCCCCAACACTGGCTGTGACACTGCAGCCTGAGGGACCTCAGGAGCTGTACTCATCTCCACCTCGCTCACAGCAGCCAGGCCCCACCTCCCTCCTGCCCCATGCGGCGTCCAATTCACACTTGGCAGAAAGAAAAGATCCCAGACTGAGTCCTCACCTCAGGACTCTGCTTTCCTGACAAGTCAACTGCAGGGGCACTGGGTAATCTCAGAGGACCTAACTTCCCCACCTCCGGAAAAAGGTCTCTTTCCTGCTCAATGATTTCATCTACCAACTATCTTTATCATACAATATTTTTTAAAATTTAAGAAATAGCAAAATAAAAGAGCAAAGAAAAAATACTTTAAAGCAATTGCTACCAGAAGTTTTTTTTTTTTTTATTCTGACAACTCAATACGATATATGATAATTTTATGGGAAAAAAAAGATTCAAAATGGCACATCAACACACAAAAGTGTGGTATCAGCACTCTACTCTGTGCTTGTAAGGTTTGGGATGACATGGGGGTGTGTTTTTAATAGTAAGCACATGCAAAAGAATTCGCATGTCTCCACTGGAACTCTCCTGGTAAACTGCCCAGCTCAACTTACCCAGGGTTCTAGCACCTGGCTGTCTCCATCGACTTCCTCCAAGTTCTGGGTTAATGAGATTTAAGTGTCTTAAGTGCAATAATCCCTTCAGTATTTAGGAAGCTTGACAACCATCAAAACAAGCAGACCCCATCACAACACGAGGTCCACGAGGGCACCTCACAGAGAGCTGCAGCCACTCTCCAGGGAGCATGGTGTCTGCAGAACTCAGGTGGAGCTCCCCGAAGAAGCAACTGTAACTTGAATCAAGCAGCAGTCAAGCTGCCTGCCATCAACCATCACTTTTAAAAAATGATTCCATCTGAAAGTCGTCAGCCTCCAAATGAGCAGGACAAGTTACCCAGAAGAGGCGCTGTACACCCAGGTGTGCTTCAATGCAGGTTCACAGGAGAACTCCAGAACCAAGTAAGAGAAAAGCAAGAGAATGACGTCATTCGGAGCCCCATGCAGACAGGTCTCCATGGGGCTGGGCACTGGCCCTCGCAGGGCGGGTGGAGGACCTTGCTGCCAGCCGCTGAATCAGACAGCACTGCCACACAGTGCTCCCAGCGAGACACTGTGAGGGGCTGGGGAACTGTCCAGAGTGGGGTCCCAAGGGAGGCCTCAGCTGTGTGCCCTCCAAGAGGACTGTGATGGCCTGGTCACCCTCTTCCTCTCTCCACCACATGCTCTCTGCCATGACAAGCTGCCTCACCTCAGGCCCCAAAGCAAAAGGGCCAGCAGACCAAGACTTGAAACTTCCAAAGATAGCTTACTTAGTGTTATAAACACAGCCTCCAAGAAGAACCAGTGTCATTGAAAAAGAAAAGAAACTTCCAAACCTGTAAGCCCAAATAAACCTTTTTTCTTTAAGTTGATTGTCTACCACCTTTTGTTATAATAACAGAAAGCTAACACCCTTGTTTATCTGGAGATATTTTTCCTTTTAATAATTTTTCCAAACATGAATCTCATTATAGAAAGACAGCAATGAGGTCATGCCTGAGAAAGACCTTAGCACCTTACTTAACCCAGGGGTGTATGCAACAATAAAGTCTTTCTGGTGATCCCACCTTAATCTGCTTTTGTATAACACATGTTGCTGTCAACATGGTCTTTGTTAAAGAACTATTTATAAGTGAAAAAAAAAATCTTTATCTTTCATGAAAGAATCACAAATTTCCAAAATGGCTTTGACATTGCAGATGTTATTAATATTCAGTGTCATTTAAGTTTTACATGCAATTTATTTAATATTTATTTTTTAGTTGTAGTTGGACACAATACTTTTTTAAAAAGATAACATCATTGTATTTTTTATACATTTATTTTTTTAAATTTTTTTTTTATGTGGTGCTGACGATCGAACCCAGTGGCTCACGTGTGCTAGGCAAGTGCTCTGCCACTGAGCTACAACCGCATCCCTGGACACAATACCTTTATTTTATTTATTTATTTTTTTATGTGGTGCTGCAGATCGAACCCAGGGCTTTGTACATGCTAGGCGAGCGCTCTATCACTGAGCCACAACCCAGACCCTTATATGCAATTTTCTAAGCAACAAAAGGTTGCCTTTTCTCCACAGGAATGTATTAATAGTAATAAAAAAAAAATGCTTTCCACCTTGAATTTAGAATAACCCTTTCCATGACTGGTGATATTAACAGATTACACAATACTCAGTTCTTAACATTTTTGGCAAAGACACAGATTTCTTAATAACCAACATGAAAATCAACCGGCACATCGCTGAACACATATAATATAGAACATGTAACTGACAATCCAGTAATTACAGATACACATGCACAGTGGAGTGTTTTATAAGATTCATAGCTGACTATGTGGAGGTTCTGTACGAAAACTGTTTGATGATCCCCACCCAATGCCCACTTTACTTTGAATGTTTAATGACATCTTTTCAATACAAGTTTCGAATTCACTGACCAAGACAGCCAATGGGTGCTTCACACCTACTGCAAGTGCTTACTGAACTAGGAACCCGCCCTAGCTGCGGACATCTCGGTAAGACCTCCCGTTACTCTCTCCCTCCCAAGTGGAGCTCAAACTCAGGGTGCTCTGCGGCCAGCACCTGCCACAATCTCACGCTCTGCCACCCAACTGCAGAACCTGTTTGCACTATAAATCTGTCCAGAGACTGATGCCTAGTCAGAACTCTCCAAATTACAGCCTGGAAAGTTCAGTGATTCATTAATTGTCTCCAGAGGAATCGATTGCCCCCCGACACCACCTTTCCAGGAAAGCAATGGCAGTGGACAGTGCAGCTCTGCTGAGCAGGCAGGCGGCTGCAGCACCAGCTCCACCGGGACCCTGCGAGGGGACACGGAGGACCCAGCACCTGCCCTCACCCACGCTCAAGTATGAACTCCCAGTGGAGAAACACACATCGCCTGTGGGGGCTTCCAGCCACGTGTCTGGTTTGAACAGCCAGCCTCTGGCCCTCACTTCCAACATCGGGACCTACAAGGACCAGACCAACCAGCCAAAGGGCACCCAGAGGGAGAAGAAGACACAGTCAGCAGACGACACCTCAGGGACACTCGCTGGGCCGGCCAGCATAATGGAAAACAGGAGACTGCTCTTGACCAAGAGACCAAGGGACAAACACCAGACGCGCCCAGGCCCTGGAGCACCTGTGTGAGCGCGAAGCTTAGGGGAGTCAGCGCTAAGCATGACCACGTCAGTCAGGAGAATGACATCTGCTATGCAGGGACGATGTTCTCATTCTTAACAGACCCACACTGCAGACTTGGAGATGTTAGAACAACTGTTCTTAAAACACTTCAAAGAGAGGGAAAACTATAAAAACAATTCCACAAACACCTGAGTAGCAAGGGCTGGAGGGTCAACGCTCACGCTCCAGCATCAAGGAGTACAGCTGACTGAACCGCTGAACAGAAGGACCATGACGGGGCGCTCGGGCACGGGGGGCTCCGCAAGGTGCTGAGGGGCACTTCTACACTTTAAAGCGTAGTATCAACTCTTAGAATATCCCCAACACAGTTTCAGATGATGTTTTAAGTTTGTGATGCCCACGCTCATAATCACAACAGAGAGGGATTAGGAAGTCTGCGGTCAGAACCACCACAGGTGACAAGGGGAAGGCACCACCCAGGGTCTCAGGCTGCATTCCCATTTCCCACATGGGAATTATGTCCTACATGAATTAACAACACCCTTTGTTCTAAGCACATTCCTAACAAATGAGCAAGACATGCTCAAAGGTCAGACAACATTTGGGGATAAGAGTTCAAAGTGAGTTTTGAGACAGCAGCAGCTATTTGATCAGATTACCCCAGTCTCTGCCTGACAGTGCTGGTCCTTACCTGGGAGCCATCAGGCCTACCCTGGAAACCAGCATGAACAGTTAGAGCACACAGAGCACCCTGCAGGAGCTGCCAAGACAGGGGTTCAGAGCTGGGCTTCCGACCTGCTCCAGGAAACATGCAGTTTCAACAGTGTCTTCCTTTGGGAAATAACAGGTTCAAAAATTTAAGCAAAACCAAACAAGAACAGTAAAAACAAACCTGAAGCCCAGCTGCCTGCAGACCACTTCTGCATCTGCATTGTCCCACTGGTCGTCACAGATGGTGCCCCACTGGCCAGCACGATAGAGCTCCACTCGCCCTTCATGCAGGCTGCGGCCGCCAGCCAGGCGGATGGCAGGCGATGCTGGGCCTATGGACATGAGATGGACAGGTCAGCCTGCACCTTTGCATCATCGCTCTGTAAGCCTGGAGTGAGTCCATTTCCCTTCTCAATGGTATTTGTTAAGCTGTAACATGTATGTGTGGCAGGCATATATAAACATACATATCAGGGTACTCTTGACCCAGTGAGATACTCCATGTTGAGCTACGCTCATTCAATAGCCCTTCACAGTGACAGTTTAGATCCAACTTCCCAACAACCTTAGAGACCAGAAAAGACACTGAAACCTGCAGATTACCGGAAGCATATTTGATCATGATGCTACTATGGTGGAGACATTATTTTATTTACAGCAACTTGAGCTTTATCAACATGCTAGTTATTAAAAACGGCATGTTTATAACAATTGTCTTCAGGACAGAATTATTTTTATATCTGTAGAAATCAAGAAAAATCACCTCTCCTGCAGCAAGCTGGTAGACACGATGGCTGCAGGCTCCTCAGCGAACAGCCACCAAAGGGCAGGGTGCAGCTCAGCAGGAGAGGGCCTGGCCTGCCCTGGAGTCCATCCTTGGCACCACAAAAACAAAGAGCACCCCAAGTCTTCCCCTTCTCGAAGCCTGAGGCCCCTGCCAGTGTGCCCCCTCCCCTGCCTGCTCCTCCTCCTCAGAGGCCCTAAAACCACTGGGCGGTACCCACCCAGTCCTCTTCCTTCTGAACCAAAGGCTCCACCAAGGTCCCCACCTCAGAGTCTTGCCTGGACTCACCTCCCAGACACTTCAGGCGGCTCCCCCCCTCATCATTCAGTTTTCAGCCCCTTCCTCAGGCTGCAGTTACAGCCCCTCCTAAGGCACTGCCTTCCACATTCCTGATCTCGTCTGCCTCAGAGCCTCAAACAGTTCACGCCCCCCCTCAGCTAGAATGAGGACCCAGATGCACCCTTTCTTCTCACCTGTGTAGTTCAGTAACTGGCAGATAGAAGGCTTGTGATAAGCATTTATTGACTGACTGGGTCAGCATGTGATGCTCAAAACCAAGAAAGGACATTCCAAACAAAAATAATACACAGTTTCCAGTGCTCACTTGTGTTCAACAGCAGATAACCCATACCCGCAGCCTGCAAGGTGTGGCTCAGGGCACCAGACTGAGCCTGCACTCAGGGAGCTGATCCCCCAGAGGCAGATTACGCAAGCAAAGGTAAGAGGTCACCAAGGAAACCCTTCAGCTCACAAGGTTGGGGGTAGTTATCTGTGAGAAAGAGCGATGGGTGGGAGAGGGGCTGGAGGCCAGAGATGGGGCAAGAGCACCTGCACTACAGGCTGTGGTCACCCCTCAGTCTCCTCAGCAGGAGAGTCATCTGTGGCTGCCTGGCTGCACTGACATATGAACACCAAACTGGAAGCAAAACTCCAATTACAGCATATGCATATACCCACATTCCTTCTTTGTAATAAAGTTAAAACACATTAGTTAGCCAGGATGCAAACTGTAAAAGGAGAGGAATAGGGTCAAAATATGTGACCTAATGGTGATTAAAAATGTAAGTTTTATAAGTTATAGCATGTTTATTTTTCTTCTAAAATTATGAAACAGAAAAATTATGAAACAAAGTGTATGTTTCTTAAGTTAATGGTCCTCTCAACGGTAACTGTAGTGGGGGGGGGCGGGGATTCGAATAAAAACAGTTTGGAATCACCTCCAACCAAGAACCTTCATGACACAATACCTTTCAGTTATCAACGTGACAGTTTATTTAAGATTTTTTTTCTGTTTAGATAAGAAATCGTCAAAGCAGGGCTGAGGTTGTGCCTCAGTTGTAGAACCCTTGCCTAGCATGTGTGAGGCACTGGCAGCACACATCAAATAAACAACAACAACAAAAAAAAGGAAGAAAGAAAGAATGGAAGGTATTGTGTCCATTTATAACTTAAAAAATACAGAAACTGTCAAAGGATAAAAAAATAGAGATCACACAATAAAATTTGGTTAACATCCTCATCATTATAACAAACTAAAAAAAAAAATCACTGGAAAGAAAATTCTGAAAACTAGTTACTTATATTCTACCTGAAATAAATAATATTTAACATGCTACCATTATGACTGCTAAAATCACCAATGTTCAAAATAGAACTTCGTAAGTTTGTAAAAAGCTAGAAGATCTATGTGACATGACAAAAACACAATTCTAAAATCAAAGAACACACCTAGGATCCTCACTGGGACTGGGGAGGCTCAGTGCTCACTGATCTCACTTCACCAAAAGGTGACAAACTACCTTTCATTTTTGACTGTGACAATTTATTTAAAATTTTTTTATGTTTAGATAAGAAATTATCAAAGGGGGTTAAAGTGCTGGGAGTCATCACTGCACCTGAGGCAGGCTCTGACACCCTCTGATGCCACTTCACCTTTAAGGGAGGTGCTGGAGTCATCCTGTACCTGAGGGAGGCTCAGTGCTAACCCTAACCCTCCTCTCGCCATGCACAAAAGTTAACTCAAAGTGGATCAACGAGCTAGATATCAAATCAGAGACTCTACGTCTGATAGAAGAAAAAGTTGGCTCCGATCTACATACTGTGGGGTCGGGCTCCAAATTCCTCAATAGGACACCCATAGCACAAAAGTTAATAACAAGAATCAACAAATGGGACCTACTTAAACTGAAAAGTTTTTTCTCAGCAAGAGAAACAATAAGAGAGGTAAATAGGGAGCCTACATCCTGGGAACAAATCTTTACTCCTCACACTTCAGATAGAGCCCTAATATCCAGAGTATACAAAGAACTCAAAAAATTAAACAATAAGAAAACAAATAACCCAATCAACAAATGGGCCAAGGACCTGGACAGACACTTCTCAGAGGAGGACATACAGTCAATCAACAAGTACATGAAAAAATGCTCACCATCTCTAGCAGTCAGAGAAATGCAAATCAAAACCACCCTAAGATACCATCTCACTCCAGTAAGATTGGCAGCCATTATGAAGTCAAACAACAACAAGTGCTGGCAAGGATGTGGGGAAAAGGGTACACTTGTACATTGCTGGTGGGACTGCAAACTGGTGCGGCCAATTTGGAAAGCAGTATGGAGATTCCTGGGAAATCTGGGAATGGAACCACCATTTGACCCAGCTATTGTCCTTCTCGGACTATTCCCTGAAGACCTTAAAAGAGCGTACTACAGGGACACTGCTACATCGATGTTCATAGCAGCACAATTCACAATCGCTAGACTGTGGAACCAACCCAGATGCTCTTCAATAGATGAATGGATAAAAAAAATGTGGCATTTATACACAATGGAGTATTATACAGCACTAAAAAATGACAAAATCATGGAATTTGCAGGGAAAAGGATGGCACTAGAGCAGATTATGCTTAGTGAAGCTAGCCAATCCCTAAAAAACAAATACCAAATGTCTTCTTTGATATAATGAGAGCAACTAAGAACAAAGCAGGGAGGAAGAGCAGGAAGAAAAGATTAACATTAAACAGATACATGAGGTGGGAGGGAAAGGGAGAGAAAAGGGAAATTGCATGGTAATGGAGGGAGATCCTCATTGTTATACAAAATTACATATAAGAGGTTGTGAGGGGAATGGGAAAATAAACAAGGAGAGAAATGAATTACAGTGGATGGGGTAGAGAGAGAAGAGGGGAGGGGAGGGGGGATAGTAGAGGATAGGAAAGGTAGCAGAATACAACAGTCACTAATAGGGCATTATGTAAAACTGTGGATGTGTAACCGACGTGATTCTGCAATCTGTATTTGGGGTAAAATTGGGAGTTCAAAACCCACCTGAATCAAATGTATGAAAGATGATATGTCAAGAGCTTTGTAATGTTTTGAACAACCAATAAAAAAAAAAAGGGAGGGAGGTGCTGGGTCATCCTGTACCTGAGGCAGGCTCAGTGCTCACTGGCCCCACTTCACCTTTAAGGGAAGGAGGTGCTGGGTCATCCTGTACCTGAGGCAGGCTCAGTGCTCACTGATTGCGCTTCACCTTTAAGGGAGGGAGGTGCTGGGTCATCCTGTACCTGAGGCAGGCTCAGTGCTCACTGGCCCCACTTCACCTTTAAGGGAGGGAGGTGCTGGGTCATCCTGTACCTGAGGCAGGCTCAGTGCTCACTGTCCCCACTTCACCTTTAAGGGAAGGAGGTGCTGGGTCATCCTGTACCTGAGGCAGGCTCAGTGCTCACTGTTTGCGCTTCACCTTTAAGGGAGGGAGGTGCTGGGTCATCCTGTACCTGAGGCAGGCTCAGTGCTCACTGTTTGCGCTTCACCTTTAAGGCAGGTGCTTGCTGACTCCACCCACACTGTCTCAAGTTCTCTCTGAATCTTCCATATCAGAATATTTTTTCACTGTTATCTTTTTTCCTAACTGTCTGTGTTTTGTAGGTTGTTTTTCAATGACCTGAAAATGACAATTAAGGAGAAAGTAAGTGGATGGATAGATCACAAAGGGCAGAGAGAATAAAGTTAGGCAGCCTTACTAACATAGCGTGTCTCGTTTTTTGCAATGTGTGAGATGTGTTCTAACTCACACTGATCACGGAATTAAACACAGTGCACCTGTGGCCTGATTCACGTCACTTCTGAGGTAGCAGCATCAACAGTCCTTGCCCGTGTGCCATCAAGGAGAATGAGGAAGCTTGGAGACCTACCGTCTTGGTGACTGGGGTGGTCACACCTGCACCAGGACCCTCAGCCCCTCAGCCTCGCTCTCACTGGGCTCTCGGTGTCTCATGGCGGGGGCCTTTCTGTTTCCCCTGACAACTCTTCTGACAGAAGCCATGCCCTGGCCATGTGGCCTGCCTTGTCCTGGGACACCTGGCCTGCTGCTCCGCACAACCAGAATGCAAAAAGGGATCCTGGGCACATGTGGTGCCCCCAGTTGTGGTGATACTCTGAAACATTCCGCGCCCCAGGGAAAGTAGGCACCATCTTCAGGCAGCTGTGCGCCTTCAGACATGTCCGGTCTTTGCAGGTCTTCCCTGCCACCGCGCACACACACCTGGTGTGG